GTGCATATATACACATACATATAGACACATATATCTGTATATGTATACACATAGATGAGAGATTAGATACACATATATGTATATACATACATGCATATATATCCTTGATTTTTATAGTAGTAAGGAACTAGAAGAAAAGTTGGCATCTACATTTTGAAGAATGGCTGAGTAGAGTAAAGCATAGTATATAAATTGGATGGGATAATACTGGTCCATAAAAAATGAAGACTATTGATTTTACAGATAAACTTTGGAAGACTTTTAGATTCCAAATAAAGTAAGTTGGACCAGGAAAATCATATCCAAGATGACTGCAATAACACACAGAAAAATACCATTGAATGACTTCAGGACTCTGATCAGTATAACCAAGTATTACCCCAGAGGACTGGTGGCTAAGCATGCCTCCCTGTTCTTTGCTGAAAGATCATGGACTCTATGTGTAGAATGTTGAATGCATTTAAATATATGATTAATTTGTTTTTGCTTATGTTTACTAAATTGTTTTGTGGTAGTATTCTACTTGGGATAAAAGAGAAAGTGTTAGAAAGTGAAGATAATTATACATATCTAATTGTATATATGTATACATATGCATATATATGCACACACACACATATATATAATTACATTTAACAATATATTATATTATACTGTTACTGTAAACTGTTTTACACATCATATCTATCAACCTAATGATGGGGCTTTGACTTGGTATTGAAAGCTCAAAGGAATTGCTTGCCTGAGAGGAGAAAAGGAGCTGTTATCATCAACATGATAAAATGTGAAAAGGGACTTTTAAATACAAACTTTGTCCATTTCTCAAAATTTTGTCACTGATTAGCTATAACCCTTTTTGATGCAATTTACTCAGAAAGCTGGATATCTTTTAAAAATTGTCTATTCAAATCTCTTTATTTTCTTCTAAAGTATATAATTAGTTTATTTTTAGACATTAAATGGTTCTCTATAGATATATATGTATCTGTATTTTGATCTATATATCTGTCTGTCTGTCTGTCTATCTACCTATCTCTTCTATCTATCCACATCCATACATGCTCCATTCTGTATCTGAGTCATTCTTGATTACACTGAGAAATTAGTGCCAAACAGATTAAATGTAATGAAATACTTATTTCATCATCATCTTCTCCTGTCCATGAACCTTCAGCATATCCCTATAGAAACACATACACATGTCTCTGAACAGATTAATATAATGAAATATTTTAATCATGCTTTTCTCTTGAGCAAGAACATATAATGGTTCCCTATTGAATCATATCATATTGGACCATGAAAAATTCATTTGTCCCCAACTTCTCACACACCTCTAAATCCTACTCCACTCTTCTGATATAACCATATTGAACATGCCTTCCCAATATTCTCTTCTGTTTCAAAGAGGTCCACTTCATAGTTCTTTGAGTTTATCCTGAATATTTTCACTTTGATGACTTTGGTGTTGTTCCCTCTACTTTTGAATGCCCTACCTATATAAAGCCTACTCATTCTTCAAGGCCAATCTTGTGTTAAAACTCTCCCTTGTAGCTTTTCCTAACTTAGCAATAAGTAATTGAGCATCTAAAAGGTGAATCGCAAATGGATTAGTTCTCTAATTACAAAATGGCAGTCATAAAGACTAAGTAGAGGCAATTTGGCCTCTTGGAAAAAGCAAGGAACTCTGAGGAATAAACTTGATTTGGAATCTTAGACTTTCCATTTAACTCTTCAGTAACACTAAAAGTCATGCCTAGAATAGTATTGCTAAGTGTTTCTTAGCACCTCCTTTAACAAAATATTTCACGCATTAGTTTTGTCTTTCTAGTCAGACTCTAAGGTCTAGTTATATTCCTTAGGCAATGATGATCACATAATATGTACTAAATGATTTTTTTAAAAATTCATTTAGTTGAAAGGTAGAAATTTCAGTCAATTACAAAAATGTTACTAATTCTTTGAGCATAAGGAATCTTGGTATAATAGAAGGAATACTAGATTTAAAATCAGAAAATATTGGTTTCTGTCTCCCCCTCCCCTTCACTACTTGCCAGCTGTCAGTCATTTCAACTTCTTGTGTCTTTATTTCCTTTCCTTTCAATACCTATGTCACAGGATTATTTGGAGAAAAAAAATTGTCAGCTGTAAAACATTATTTATATTTTATCTATTGTAAGTATTATTTTTGTTATTTTATGCCACACATTAGAAAGGGGGGAAATTGAAACTATCTTGAATTTTCTCCATTCTTTACAGTGTTAGATGACCTAGAAATATCTTTTTTTCACATAAAAACCAAGTAAATGTATGAAAGAGAATACTGAAACACAAGGTTAACATCACAAAGCATTGTTCTGTAAAACTGTAAAAAAAAAGTTCAATGAATCCCGAGTCTGATTCTCTGAATTTCTCCATGTACTTCAAAACTATTGGTCATATGTGACACTATTGCACTGGCTCTAAGTTAATGTCACCAGAGTGAAATCCAGAGGGTATTAAATACATACATACACACACACATATGTGTGTATTTGTGTATGTGTATGTATGTAATATATATATACATACTTCCAAAGTTCTAGTTCCCTGATATATAGAATTTACATATTTAATTAAAGCCTTAACACCCAAATCTTCACATTTGAATTAAGTCATCATGTACCAAAATACATATATGTACATACCCATATATTTATAGATCTATCTATCTGTCTATCTATACATGTTGATATATACATAGTTATCAGAGAGATGTAAAGAAGACCTTGGTTCAATTCCACTTCTGAAACTAAATGAGTGACTAGGTAAGGCACATAAGCTCCCCCAGATTTGGCTACCAAATTAAAAATGTATCTGAATTGAAGAAGGAACATACTCTATATTTGAAGTTCCTCAAAGAATTGAACAGATCTTCCTTCTATTCACACATTCACATATTATAAGAATAACTTGGGAAAAAAATAATGATCATTCTCATTCTGGTTACAGCAATACTGTGTTTTCTCATGAATATTATATAATAATGACTAGGCTATGTTCACAAATTAGCTGGGTAGTGAGATCCCCATAATTCTGAAAGTTGTTCCTTTAGAATTTTAAAGTACATATTTATTCAGTTTTGATTAAGAGCTTATTTTGTTCAATTGTTGCCTACATTTTTACTCAAAACTTTTAAATTTATTTTTAAGTTCAAAATTAATATTCATCATTTAGTTTGAAAAGGTTTGCAAAGTATAACAAAAAGTCATTTCCCAAAATGTCTTTTTGCATGTATTGTTTTTTTTCTTCCCACTCACTACCTCTGCATTGGTTTAACTGTCATCTCTTGATCTATACAAACATTCAGTGGTCTATATTAATGCCAGGCTAAAATAGGTCCAAATAACATCAGAAAAATGCAAAAAAGTTAAATTTCTAGTGCAAATAATATTTCATCTTCATTTACTAACAGTCCAGCGGTATCTTAGACAGCAATCTGAAACTGACTGAATATAACTGGATAGAGTCATGAAGGTAATTTTACTTCTAAAGAAGAAAACTTGTGTTTTAAATCTTACGTGAATCAAAATAGTTTGAAGATGCAATTTTATTTTTCCCTCAAAAATTCAGGCTTGAAGTTTTATAGCCGAAATCTTCCAGGTGTTATCTCAAATACCTCCCACCTTTTTTTTTATTTTAAGGGAAACTGAGAATGTTTGAAATGTTTTTATGACTTTAAACTAATATATATGCTAATAAAGAAATGTTATTCTATTACAGTTGTACATTTCTCTCTTTGGAAACTTATAATTTTACAGCAATATGGATACTGATAAGGGATAATAACTTTAAAATAGTTTATAAGTCTCTGCACAGGATTTTGAATTAGATAAATCCTCCTTACCCTTCTTTATAGTTATCTGAATTCATATTTCTCAATTACTGAAGGAATTTCATCAGAAATGATCATCATTTGCATTATTATTGGCCATGATCTAATTGGTGGTTGAAGGAATATTCTGAATTACTTTTCTTTTTATCATATGCTTACATTTTTAAAATTCTGTTTTATTTTCAGCTCTGAACTTTGTCACTCTTACGTATTGAGAAAGCAAGAAAAGCAAAAGCCATTATGAACATATATAGTCAGTCAAAATAAATTCCCACATTAGCTAGTGTGTATATATAATATTTATGACAATGTAGCATGTATATATGTATATGTAGGTATGTATGCATGTATGTATGTATACATGTATGGATGCCTCAATCTTCACTCTCTCTCTGGAAATTATTAGTTTGTTTCAGAACACAAATATATTCATTGTCAAAGTTCATATGAAGATGCATGCATTTCTAATAAAACATCTTTTAATCTGAGTACATTAAAACATTTAGAAGTGCTCAGTATTGTACATATCACAGACCTCACCATGAACTTTGACTTTGTAGCTTTGAAATAGATATGTTTGTTGCAATAGTAGATGGTAATATTTCTTAACCAACCGTAGCTCATCTCCTTTTGCAGCCCCATTAAAAAAAAAAAAGCCAAAAAGCATTCTACGTCAAGTGTGAGTGGTAGAATCCAAATCTCTTTGTAACTCAATTGCTTCAATGACAAGGTATCACTATAAGCTACAAAGACTAATAAAATGTAGGGAGGCACACTGAAGTATTCAGTGGTTTGTCATCATAAAAAAGACATGAATTTTAGAATGTACCTTGAGGTAGAGGAAAGTTTGGAGATTTCACTAATGTCAGAAATTTTATCTGGGGCTAATGATCAAATTTATATAGTAAATAATATAAATCAGGATTTAATTATTCGACAATATTAAAAATATATGTTTTATATCATGAATCACTATTGATTTCTTTATAAATAATAAATGTGGGTCCCACTTATGGCAAAATAAAAGATAATATCAATTTTTTTTAAGAGAAGCACAGTACTCCTTTAACTACAAATCAAGAAGCCCTAATGAAAGAAGGGGAATAAAAACCAAAATAAAACTCACCTTGTCTACAATACATATCTGCTTTCTGGTTTGAGCATCAAGGATTTCTATCTCAAAGTGAGCAGATTTTGAATGTTTAACTACTGGAGTTGGTTTCAGTCCACCAGCAGACAGAACAAGTTGTGATAAAGCATGAAAATTCCTCAGGTCATTCTTCAGTATGGGCTGTGTAGCTCCTTGGACAAATATTTCCCTCTTTCTATCTGTAGCAGAGGGCTTGCTCCTTTTGAACATTGTGAAAACTAACAGGAGACTCTGTCCTGTCAACACAGGACACTTCCAAATGTGTTCCGTTTGCATCAGTTAAATACAGCTGATGAAACCCTCAAAGGTCAAATGACATGCCATTTCAAGAGTCTAGTTTTATTTAGCAGACCTGAAAACAATGACTGATCTATTTCTATATATAACATGCTATGAATATATAACATGTTAAGAATTGCTCTGATGTTGTAAAGGTTTCTTTACTAACATCTGAAACATTTTTTTCTTTGAATTATTATCTTACTTTGTTAATTTGACAAATAGTTACTGAAATTCTGGGGCAAGAACAGAATTAGAAACACAATGAATGCATGCCATTTCTGATTTGGAGGTGCTTATATGATGACAATGCACATGTGTGCATGAGACTGTCAACATGATCCACACCAATGATTTTAATCATGTGGAGAATTTCTAACATCAAAATTTTATCTACAAAAAAAAAAACACACTTGTGAAATGTGTATGGGTTTACACAGTTGTCTGAGTACACTGAGATGTGAATTGTCTTCCTTATGGTTACATGGCGTGTAAGGCAGAACCTGAACTTATTTCTTCCATAAAAATCTACTGTGGTGCTTCTGTGATTATTTAGACACATTGTTCTGTCCATTCCTGTCAAAGGAACACAGATATAAAATGATATTTGTGTAATTCTATTTGTGTAATTCTTCCTTCATCATCATCCTATTCCCCTCTGATATGTCTATTTTCTCAATAAAGATTTAATTTCATTTTTTGTTCTTAGCTTTTCTTCTTTAAATGTGTCATCATCATGTATTGAAGTAATAAAATGTTATAGAGTAGTGGAGAAAGCTTTAAGAAAAAGCTTTGGGATCAGAGGATCTGAATCTTAGATTGAAGGAAATGACATTTCATAGGGTCCAGAAGAAAGTATGCTTTTTTTTTTTTTTGCTTTTTTATTTTAAAGGGAATACATTGTATGTGACTGAGAAGGAAAATCCTCTGTAATCCCTTTTTGTAGGAAATATTTTAAATTTAAAGCTACAGCACTGAAGATTGTGTGGTATAGAAAGAGTTCAAATTGTGTAAGAAAAGTCAGGCAAGAAGGGTACCTTGTTAGCTAACCTTAGTACCTAAGTAACAAGGTTTTTGTAATGATTGAATGTAATAGTGTACATAAAGCATTTAGCAAACTTTAAAGCATTTAATGCCAATTAATAACAGAATAAGAGAATTCTAGAAGAATTTTAGCTGAAGAAAATATTGTAGCATTTGTAATAGTTTAGAAAGTGTATACCCTCTGTTTTGTTGAGGTATAAGTTACTTTGTTTTCAAGTAACTGTAGAATATATTTAAGGTAGAAAATGGGAGTTGAGAACTTTGTTGTCATAATTCAACTGGACCAATGAAGTGGGATTGTATAGACAATCAAACAGATAATATCTGTCAGTAAACGGGGGGTGAGGGGATTCACACTGCCATCCCCCATTATGATTATGTGACAGACTTGGAGAACAAGGTAGAACATATAATGGCAATATATTTTTACCCCCATAGTTTTAGATTTATATCAAAATTCTAGAGAATTTGAATTGGGACTAGATGAAAGCAGTAAAAATGTTAAAGAGGTCTACAAAAACATCAAAAGCTCTGGAAATATATAGTTTGCTGAAGAAAAATGATGAGATAACCAATTATCAAGTCGAAACATAAAAGGATATCACAGGGACATTTATTCTTTATTTAAATGTAAAATAAATAGTAGTAAGATTGTTTTAAATTGTATGAGGAGCTTTAACTTCATGAAATCAGAGATAATCAAAAAGATAAATACTCTTTCTTGTAATTTGGGGGGAGAGTAGGGGAGAGAGTGTGATTTATATATTAGTAATCTACTCACTCCAGAGATTAGCAAATACTGACATTTCTTAGGCACTTAATAAATGCTAGTTGATTGATTGGCTTCCAAATATGGGTGGAGTAACACTACTGACAATGCATTTTTCCAAAGCCTTTAAAATACACATTAGTATCACACGCACATACACACATGCATACATACATACATACATATACATATCTGTACTATATACATATATAGTACATATAGTATATGTACATATACATATATATATGAACATATATATGTATATTGAGAGGTAGCTACAATTATGTACTATATATGGACATAGGAAGATCAAAAATAAAAGAGATTTTTTTCCCCTAATGATCACATGTAGCATCACAAGAAAATATCTTCTTGGACTAGAAGGTCATTGCTTATGACCTCTCCTAAAATGTGAATTTCCATTGTCTTATTCTAAACACATGCATACTTTTCTTTCATGACCATATACATACATACAATATTATGTATACATATATAATTTTTTGTTTCTTTTAATAACCACAAAGTTACATGGGTCTAGAAACTCTGATGTTATAGAATCATGAAATTCCATGTTAGAAGGCATCTCAGCAGTTATTTAATTCATTCTATTACCCCGTAATTACATCTTTAAGCAGATAGCCTTGCTAGAAGATCTCCATTGAATAAGGATTAAATCCTCTTTGGGCAGGTTACTTTTGTCAATTATTTTTAGAAGACATTTGAAGCAAGACATTTTTATAGAATAAATACCATACTCATTTGCCTCTTCATTTTTCAAAGCTGTTTTTATTACTTTTTTAAGAAGATGCAAGAAAGATGAAAAAAAAAAGGATTTGCATTGTCCACAGCACCATAGATTAAGAGCAGGAAAAGAATTTAAAACTGAGGACTTTAGATGCAATGGAGTCCATTCTCCTCATTTTTCAGATGAAGTAATGAGGTCCAGAGAAAATAAGTGATTTGGCCAAAATTACAATTAGTAAATAGCAGATCTGGGATTCAATCTTAGGTACTGTGACTTCAAATCTTGTACTCTTTCTGCATCAAGACACTGATTATATTTTATGTATGTAAATGGTCTTCATCAATAGTCATCATAGATGAAATATAATTCAAAAGCATTACCAGCTTCATTTTTTCAGAAACCTTTAACTGCTTCAAGTTCATTACACATGAAAGCATTTTTCTTCTAAATAAAATTGACATTTTGTTCCTTGAATAATAGTATTGCTAAGGTCATGGTAATGAAAAGTATACTTTTCATTAATTTTTGTTATAAAAGAAACAGTTGATACCACTATCAAACTAGTTTGTAGTTTCAATTGTTTTATTGACTTAAAATGATTATTACTTTATATTGCACTTTGAATTCTAGTTTGGTTAGGTCACCTTCTTTCACATTTTTTTTCTCATTGATTCCCTTGATACTCTTGACTTTTTTGTTTCAAGATAAATTTTCTTATTTTTTTTAGCTTTATAAAATATTTTTGGTAGTTTGATTGGTATGGCATTAACAAAGTAGATTAATTTAGGTAGCATTGTCATTTTTATTATATTGGCAGGACCTACCCATAAGCAATTAATATTTTCCAGTTATTTAAAATTATCAAAACAATTATTAATTATTATAATTATAAAATTATTTGGTTAATTAGTAATTATCACAACAATCTGGTACTGGATAATAAATAGAGTGATAGATCAGTGGAATAAATTAGGTGCACAATACATTAGAGTAAATGACCAGAGTAATTTAGTGTATGATAAACTCAAACATCTGAGCTTTTGGGATAAAAACTCATTATTTAACAAAAATTTCTGGGAAAAGTAGAAAACAATATGGTAGAAACTAGGTATAGAGCAACATCTCACATAATGTACTAAGGTAAGGTCAAAATGGTTACATTATTTTAGACACAAAGGGTGATACCATAAACAAATTACAAGAACTATTAGCTCTATGGATAAGGGAAGAATTAGGACCAAACAAGATACAGAGAGCATTACAAAATGTAAAGTGGTTAATTTTAATTATATAAAATTTAAAAGTTTTTGCACAAACAAAACCAATGCAACCAGACTGAGAAGAAAAGCAGAAAATGGGGGGGGGGGTGATTATAGTAAGGATCTCTGATAAGTGATTCATTTCTTAAATATATAGAAAACTGAGTCAAATTTATAAGAATATATTCCATTCCCCAATTGATAAATGGTCAAAGGATATCAACAGGCAGTTTTCAGACAAAGAAATCAAAGCTATCTATAATCATATGAAATGTTGTAAATCACGAATAATTAGAGAAATGCAAATAAAAACAATTATGAGGTACCACCTCAAATCCATCAGATTAGCTAATATAACAAAAATAAATAATGATCAATGTTGGAAAAGATTTGGGCAAACTGAGACACTAATGTACTATTGGTGGAGTTGTGAACTGATCCAACCATTCTGGAGAGCAATTTGGAACTATGCCCAAAGGGCTATAAAATTATGCATACTCTTTGATCTAGTAATATCACTACTAGGTCTGTATCCCAAAAAGATTTGAAAAGGGGGGTGGGGGAAAGAGCCTATTTGTACAAAAGTATTTATAGTGGTGGCTAAGAATTGGAAACTAAGGTGATGTCCATCCATTGGGGAATGGCTGAACAAGTTGTGGTATCTGATTACAATGGAATATTATTGTGCTGTAAGAAATGATGAGCAGGATGATTTCAGAAATACCTGGAAAAACTTACATGAACTGATGCAGAGTGAAGCGAGCAGAACCAGCAGAACATTGTACTCAATAACAGCAATATTGTATGATGGACAACTGTGATTGACTTAGCTATTCTCGGCAATACAGTGATCCAAAATAGGACTCATGATGAAAAATGTTATCTGCCTCCAGAGAAAAACTGATGGCATCTGAATACAGACCAAAACATGCTATTTTCTTCTTTCTTCCTTTCTTTTTCTTCTTTTCTTCCTTCCTTTTTCCTTCCTTCCTTCCTTTCTATTTTGTGTTGAAGTTTTCTCACACAAAATGACTAATATGGAAATATTTTGCATGGTTTCATATCTACAACTTATATCTCCTTGCTTGCCTCAGTTGGGGATGGGGGGAGG